GGGCTCCCCGTATTGAAAAAAAAAAAAAAAAAAAAAAAACCTTCACCCAAAATTGGTAAACTGGAAGGAATGTTTTGTTTCACTCGTTAATCTTCCTCCTGTGTTTTCTCTCTCAATTGTCCTCTGCCTCTGTCTATCTGCCTGTATACTCTCCTCCTTGCCTTCCTTTCTTCTCCATATCTTTTGGAAAGCATAAATTTATGTGTGTGTGTGTGTGCTCGCACATACATGCACACAACATACATGTGGTGGCCAGAGTACAGCTTGCAGAAGTTGGTTCTCTTTTTTTAAAGATTTGTTTATTTATTATGTATACACTGTTCTGCCTGCAGGCCAGAAGAGGGCACCAGATCTCATTACAGACGGTTGTGAGCCACCATGTTGTTGCTGGGAATTGAACTCAGGACCTCTAGGAAGAGCAGCCAGTGTCTTAACCTCGGAGCCATCTCTCCAGCCCCAGGAGTTGGTTCTCTTTACTTACCGTGTGGGCTCTGGGGCTTGAACTTGCGTCCTCAGCTTTGGTAGTAAGCGGCTTGACCTGCTATGCCATCTTGCCAGGCCCCCTCTCCAGATCAAATCCCCTCTTTTCTTCTGTTTCATTTAAAGTCCTCTAATTGAGAGTTTCTAGAACTATCTAGAGAAAGGAAGCAAGGATTCCTAAGCTCGGCTCCCCCCCCCCCACACACACACACCCTCAAAGCAGACTTCTTGCTGTTATTATGGTTTGGTTACTTTCTTTTTGGTATTCTTGGGCCCATGCACATCTTTGTAACTATTTCAATAAAACCCCTTGTCCTTGGAGAGCAGACAGGCTTGAGAGACTGTGGGTCATTTTTGAGACCGCACCTGCAGCAAGTCAGAGAAGCAAAGCTATGCAGCTAGGTAGGACCTATGGCCTGATGCAACCCTAACCATCGTTGCAGCCCTCCTCCTCCTCGGTCTTGCCAGTGCTATCCTGAGATACACCCTGTAGGCTGCCCTTATAAATCCCCATTCCATTGTGTCTACAACTGTGGTCTCAAAAGAGTCAGCTTCTAGGACATTTTTCTTCTACAAATTTTCAATAGACCAGTCATAACACTCTTAGTGTCACCCAGAAATCTGGCCCCCCAGATCTCCCCTGCTTCATTCACTATGCATTTGTCCCTCTTTTAGGAAAGGAAACCTTCCTGTGCTTTTTTTTTTTATCATAAAACCAAATTGGGAGTTGAGGATGGAGGAAATACTGATTTAATAACTCTGCAGGAAAGGTTAAAGTTCCTGAAGATGAATGGATTACAGAAGGCAAAGGTGCATTTGCTGAAAACATGGAAGAAGTCAATGCTACAGCAGGAAAGGTTAAAACAACCTTCTGCATGGTATGGCTGGGCAGTAGCAAAGTACGGGGACAAGGAGGGGACGAGGCATTGTCAGACTTCGGGGTATTTTTTCTGTCCAGCAAAGACAGTGTATGAGCAGAATGTCAAGTGGTTCATGGACTGCCTTACTCTCCCAGGAAGTCTTAGGTAAATGTTCAGAGCGAATCAACCAGTGAAACAAGTAAGCCACGCGGAAGGCTGTAGAAGGATGAGTTCTCCCCTATTGATCTCTGCTGCCCAAAAACAATGAACAGAAAGGATGCACAGACTGATTGCAAAAGAGGAAATGGAACCAGGACGCCTGAGTCAGCACTTTTTCTTCCATTTAGCCTTTTCCTCTCTGATATTCATCATAGTCATGACGTTCGAATGCCTTACCTGAAATGGCAGTGGAATCAATAGCTACTGCACATGCTTTTGCTGCAGCGACATTGTTGCACTATTAACAAATCTGTGCAAGAAAATGAAAGGGTATCTTTGGAGATACAACCCGATGACGTCTGGGGAAGCGGGAAGGAGAAGAGAGGGAACTAACTAGTTTGTTTAAGTCAGCCATGATTTCATGTCAGCTTCATGGCTGAGTCATTTTTCAATGACGTTTAACTTCATAAACATAATTCATGGTTCTTTGGGGGTTCGTGGTACATACTGTTTGTAAAAACTCCTTTGGCCTCCTTTTCCATCCTTGGAGATGGGAAGGCATTCACAAACCCTTTCTGTCAAATCTACCCAAATGAGCTCTAATGACTTCAGCCTTCAGGAGCTGGTGTTTCAAGGGACAGGATACTTAAGTGAGCAAGACCAATGTCCTCCTTCTAAGTACAACTGTTTCTGTTTCTATTTATAAAGCTTCGTAAAACCACAGAGTCTCTCCTGCCTGTTAAAGACTCTAAAATCATGGCCAAAAAGACCATCAGATGGAATTGGAACCAAGTTTAAAATTCATTGTAAAACCATTCCTCTTAAAATTTGAATTTGGCTATTCTATCAGCCTCTGTAATTATAGCGCACCAAGGGCATATTTACTAATACCACTGACCAGAGAAAACATTGGCTCGTATTTCTAGATACTATAAACGGCCCTTTTGATGGCATTCTAGTACTGGGGTAATAAATCTTAGTGGCTTTTTCTCCTTTCTTCACACCATAATTCAGGACAGAGAAGGGAGCTAATATATCTGGCAGAAAAAAAAAAATCTTCTCTCTCTCTGTCTCTCTGTCTCTGTCTCTGTCTCTCTCTCTCTGTGTGTGTGTGTGTGTGTGTGCATATACTTTCATTATCTCTTAAGTTTTCTTATTATCTTATGTTTTCTTATTTCATCCTTTAAGGAAAAGATTATGATACATTTTAAATATTTCATTTATTGGTACCTCATCAAATGCTTTAAATGGTTAATTATAGACTGAGAGCATTTTTAGGCAAAAATATACAATGTATTTTATGGGTATTTTGATTTTGCCTTATTAGATGGCAATATCAAATGGGCGCATTAATTTTTAAAAAAAAACTATACTGCAAGGTCGCCTTTAGGAGAAGAATATGAACATTATTGGTTCTGGATGAGTAAATGCCGATGCTAAAGACATATTGTTTCCAAAAAAAAAAAAAAAAAAAAAAACAGCAGCTAGAGGTAGTAGTGCACACCAGAAATACCAGGACTTGGGAAGCTGAAACAGAAAGATCACAAGTATAAGACTGGCCTGGGCTGTATTATGAATCCTAGGCCTTCTTGTAATATATAGCAAAACCCTGTGTTGAGAAAGGAGGAAGGAAGGAGGAAAAAGAAGCAGAGAGAGAATAGCGCCATATCTCTTTCTAATCGGCCCTGGACATCTACTTTGCTAACGACACATGCTCACAGCAGTCTGTCATTGATTCCTACGTAAATTGTAAACACAGCATACGCGCTCCTCCATGCCAAGTAGGAAACACTGTAACTAGCACATGACTCCTCCATAAATGTCTCTGATGTGTTCAAACCTCATTTCAAACTTATGTACAGGTGCATTCCATCCCCTTGTGTGGAGCCAATTTGAAGGTATCAAAGGGTTTGCATCATCCAGAGTTCAATTCCCCCACCACATGAATTCCATTCTACAGTGACTATAACAATTTTAAGTAATATTATGTACATCTATAACTAATAATAAATCACTAAAATTCACCTTTCTGGGTGAAGGAAAAAGTCACCATTTTCCCCATGGCTCAAACAATTTGGAACCGACTTCCATAAATGCTATCTTCCTGAGAATATGGAATTCTCATAATGCTGAAAATTGGTTTTGCCTCAAGAGAGGGTTCTTCTTTGAGAGCTTTGTGGAACGTTGTGATTTCTAATAAATTCATAGTTCTCTGGTCTGACTCCCTCAGGACTAGGGAGTTTATGACATAGATCCTTTAAATGATGTCTTATTTAGAGTCACTGTATTGTCAGTATTAAAACTTACAGTACTGCCGGGTGGTGGTGGCACACGCCTTTAATCCCAGTACTTGGATGACAGAGGCAGGCAAATCTCTGTGAGTTCGAGGCCAGCCTGGTCTACAGAATGAGTTCCAGGATAATAAATAAATCAATAGATAGATAAACCTTATAGAACCATCATTTTATGCTTAAATAAGAAAGAAAGAAGGCACCCAACATAGCAGGTCAAGAGCTCCTATCTAAAGTGACCATCTCACGACTAAGGGACCAAAGGGACCAACCAGTCTTGCAAATTTCCATCTTGACGTTAAGCAAGGAGAGATGACAAGATATCCTCTGAGGATCTGAACCACAAAGTGGCACAAATGTATACAGAATGGCCGCAAAAAATTACACATGAAGAATTTAAACTAGTCTCCAGCTGTCTGTGTCCAGGAGATGCTAGAAGAGCTTCTTCAGTAAGTAGGCTGGATTTCAAATCATAGAAAATTTTGTCTCTCTCAAATAAGAAGACAAAAGTTCCACACTTTCCTGGACCACAGGCGGCAGCTCAGCCCTTTGCAAAAGTCTCACTCACCATCCTAACCCATATTATACAGAGCTGTCCTCTCCACAGGCCACGTGAACCTTCCCTAGGACCGTCCAAGGAAGCCAGTCCTCCTGCTGAAATACTGTCTACCTTAGCATGCAGGCTGACAGAGATCTAAGCTTTGAGAACACAGCCGCACAGTAAAGCCCGTATCCTTAATAACTGCCCCTAGCAGTTTGGCCTTGCTTTGACTTTATTCTGGCGCGATTGTTTTCAAATCCCCCCACATGTGTAGCCACCCAGATCTTGAGAACAGCCAAGGAATCAGAGCATAATACACATGGGGACAATATACACGGAATCTACTATGGACTTGCCAGTAGACACTCTTGGGGAGGGCCATTGTCATGGCCGACAACACTGGCCCAACCACACTACTCAGGACCTGTAGTAAGGATCGGGTCATGCACCTGACTTCACATCTTGCACTGTGCCGCCTCCCTCCCACCCTCACTAGGTGTGTTCTCAGAGAGAAAAACTAATTTTGAACAGAGCCTAAGTGGAACAATTATGAAAGTGACTCATTTAAGAGTTTTTCAGGTTTTCCTTCTAATCCTCCTTTCTCGTTTTGAAATCAAGGACTCGTGAGGTTAGAATGAGCCTCTCCGCCTTCTCCTAGAGGGAGGGTAATAGGGCTTGGCCATACATGCAGAAGACACTGCATGTATTTCCTGATCCTGCTGGGCATCAGCCAAGGTTGAAAGTGCAGCGTTTGAAAAGCAGGACGGTGCACCTTTCGATCTGTGAAGAATCTAAAACTGGTCTTGCTGACTGTGCCTGAGGAATTCCCTCGTGGCTCTTGGGTCTTCTTTACGTTTTGAGATTCGGTGCTCGAACATATAAAGTCCCTTTTTTTTTTTTACGGCTGTCAAGAGACTACATGAGTCATACGTAGGCAACTACATTGGCTTGTGTGGGTCAAGTTCAGCACCTTGGTGGCCCGTTGTTCATGACTGATCCAGGTCTCTTCTCTGGTTTCAGTTGACTGCTTGGATCCCACCTGCTCCAGTCATGGCGTCTGTGTGAATGGAGAATGTCTGTGCAGCCCTGGCTGGGGTGGCCTCAACTGTGAGCTGGCAAGGGTCCAGTGCCCAGACCAGTGCAGTGGGCACGGCACTTACCTCCCCGACTCTGGCCTCTGCAGCTGTGATCCGAACTGGATGGGTCCTGACTGCTCCGTCGGTAAGCCAAGAGATCGTCTCCTCACACACTCGATCCTTGTGTTCCATTGCCTTCTGGCTGGGGGAAAAATCTCGTCTTTACACTTGGGATACGAGGGACTTGGGTCGGTCCTGTGGTACCTTTCCTCACTCTCACCTCCTTAGCCGTGGAGTCTGCAGCCTTGGAGGATGAAACGAAAACTCAAATGATTGTGTTGGTGCCTGTCCCTCTTTGGTTCCATCACCACAAATGGATGACGGGCCCAGGAGGGTTGATTCTGCTTGCATTATAGGTTTTCTTGTGTACACTCCCTAAAGGTAGCAGCAAACAATACAGAACAATTCAGTCCCAGACAAACAGAATAGAACGTCCTATAAAACAGAAAGGAGGCTCCCTCGGGGTGTCGCGTGAACATGTTATAAAGCTCTGCCGTTCTCCGGCGACAGGGAAATAATGAAGTTACGCTGTACACTTTATTTTCCCTAAAACTAAGAGTGTGTGTCTTACTTCCCAAGTGACCTTAAAAAAAAAATAAAATAAATGGAACAGTTCAACAGTTCAAGCCGGTCCCAACCTTTCCAAGAAAGGTTCTGTTCACTGACGAGCGCCTATCCAAGCAAGCCATCACCATGTCGCCCCTTCCTGGGGCGCTGAGACAGCTGTCAGCTTGCCATGACAATCATAAAGGGAAGAGATGTGACGCTTTGCCTGCAATGAGGAAAGTAAAAAAAAAATCTTTCATTCCAAAAGAGAAAAGGGGGGTGGCGGGGAGGAAGAGAGTCAGCCCAGTCACCTCTGGCTTCATCTGCTGGTGGTCCTGACGACATTCTGCAGAGGATGGGGGGAGATGCAGAATCCCGGCCCCGAGTTCCAATAGTACCGCAGACACGCTGTGACTGTGAGCAAGTCACTGCCCATCCCAGTCTGGTGTCCCCTCCCGTGGCATGACGAGCCATGCCTCCCTGCCTCCCTCAGTGGGCTGCTGTAAGGATGAATGTCTGGCACGTGCTTGTCCTCGCGTGATAGGTCTGGAACGCCAGAGTGGATTATCTGTCTGTCTGTCTCCTCCCCCACCTCCCCCACAAAAGACTTTGAGCTCCTTGGAGAAAGAGGCTGTGCAAGCGCAGCATAATTGACAGCGGTTATCCTTGCCGTAGAGTGCTGATCTGGGGAACCCGTGGGTCTATAGGCTTGGGGACGGTGGAGCAGCATGGACCCCAGCAGGCTTCCGTGGCTTGGTCAGTTCAGGTGCTCAGTGAGGAAGTGCCCCAGCTGAATAGGGAGCCAGAATCCACCAGATAATTCTTTAGCATGAAGGGTAACTCCTGTTGGCTTAGCTGAAGGGCAGCCACGGTCTGATCTCCTCTCAAATGGTCTCAGTATCTAGAAGAGCTGTTGTCACACTCCAGTGAGTATCCAAACCACCCAGAGGGCTTGTTAAAGCGAATTGGTGAGCCCCTGCTCCTGACAATACATCTAATTGATCCAACGTGAGCACGAGGATTTGCATTTCTTTACATTTCTAACAAGTTCCCAGGTGACGATAATGCTGCTGGCCCAGAGCCACAAGTTGAGGACCACTGCTCTAGAAGAAGAAAAAAATAAAATAAAATTAAGTAGCAAAATGATTCCCCACCCAGCGAAGAGACAAACCTGCAAAGACGCTATGGCTACCAAGGCCTCTCTCCGGCCGGCTCTGGAGCCATGTGTGTGTGGTCTGGCTTCCGTGAAGGACTTCGCCCCGCTGTGGTGTTGAGCTGTAATCATTGTTTTTCTTCCAGAAGTGTGCTCAGTAGACTGTGGCACTCACGGCGTCTGCATCGGGGGAGCCTGCCGCTGTGAAGAGGGCTGGACAGGCGCAGCTTGTGACCAGCGCGTGTGCCACCCCCGCTGCATTGAGCACGGGACCTGTAAAGATGGCAAATGTGAATGCCGAGAGGGCTGGAATGGTGAACACTGCACCATTGGTAGGCAAACGGCAGGCACCGAAACAGGCACATATTGCTTTATTTTCATAAATCGTAGATCGGTAGTGACGGTCGCGCATTGCAACTGGCTGTTCCCTCAGGGACACGTGTGCTCCCCCCCCAACATCCCACTGCCTCTCCAAATCTCCATGGGGTTAGGGAAAAGGGGAAAGTGAGGTTCCGTCATTGGAAGAGCCTTTCCCTGTTTTGCAGGATTGCATTTTTGGGGTGGAAAGAGACCCAATCCGTTAAGAAACCTTATCCAAAGTGCTCCTCTTGGGGAGGGAGGAATGCACATGCATGGGAAACTGTTAGTGCCTGCAGCTGCCAAGCACCCTGATATGGCTGTGCCCTTGTTCCCTGCTCTGGCTAGCCGGATCCCTGGATCCCTGGTGCTGGTACCACTGTGAACCTGGTGTGGGGGCATGCTTGGTATACACAAGCCATCCAGGTCCTCGGATAGCCAAGTACAGCTGTCGTAGATCCAAGCACCCAGTAAGTTGACTCCTGAGCTTCCCCAATGCCACTGTCTCTAGGATAGGGCTCCACCTCTGGCCCCACTTCATTCTCTACTCAGCTACCACTCGTATATAAATTTCTTAACCGATAATATTTGTAAGCCAGAAATGGTGGCACACACATGTAATCCCAGCACTTCGGAAGCAGAAGCAAGCAGATCTCTGAGTTGGAGGTCAGTTTGGTCTGCAGAGTGAGTTCTAGAACAGCCAGGGGCTACACAGAGAAACCCTGTCTCAAACATCTCCTCCTCCCCCACAAAAATGGTAAAGGCCTGATCTTTGATATCTTTGGTTTGAAGTCAACCTGAACTATATATATCATGGCCCTGTCTCCCAAAAATAAATACATTATGGTTTTGAAGTTTCTACAGTTGAGGTTTGGTTTGGGGGGGGTTGGTTTTTGGGGAGGAATTTGTTTGTTTTTGGTTTTTTGCTTTGTTTTCCTTTTGGGGAGTATTTTTGTTTCTTTTGTTTTGTCACTTTGTGTTTGTTTTTCCAATCTTTTTGCCTGGGAACGCACAGGCTGCTCTGAAAGTATCTGATTATCTCTTTGGCGAAGGATTGGAAGCCAATACTTTCTTCTCTCCGATAGTTAGGATTACAAAGTAATCCACCCAACCACCCTTTTTTTAATCTCTCCGGATTTTGCTTTTGCTGCTTCTCTAAGTCTGTTGAAGGACTCTCCCACACCAGGCTGGATAACCTACTGGCATAGACCCTCCAGGGGAGCTCCAACCAAGCAGCTGCTTTCCTGCTTCAACTTATCTTTGATTCTAGCCATAAGTTTGGAGCCCTGTCCTCTATGCTAGCCCCCAAAGTCCAAATTGAGCATCTAGAGTGAGAGACAAGGAGGAAGATCTTGCGCAGGACTAACCAATGAGGTCAGACTCAGTTTCCCATGCTGTTCATTCGGGCAGTCAAACAGAAATTAAGTGAACTGATTCTATGTTCAACACCCCCACACACACACACACACCTCCATTCCGTTGAATTGGCCATCGGAAGGGCAGAAAGCTGATCAGGGTCACAACTATGGCACTGGGACCCTGCTGGGACAGTCCGTTGGCAGTGAATTGTTATTGCAATCTCTCAATGACGCTCCAGTTCCTGCATCCCCTGCAGCCACTCTCATCTCCACTCCCTGCCAGAGGCTGAGGGACAACCCACCAGACTTTCAGGGGAGGGATGTGCACAGCCCAAGACCAAGACAGTCCTCACAGTGGCTTCCGCTCTTCAGGGGTTTTTGCTGTACTTTTGCATGCCTGCTGTGGTTTAAATCAAAATTACTCCCCATCCTCACATCTTTGTTGCCCCATTGCCCCTCCCTTCTGGGAGCTCTTGCCAATCAACACCCCTAAGGAAGATAATCCCACAACTCTCGATTCATATGTTTCAACTTTGAAAGCCTCTTTCCCTGTCTGGGAAGTACAGGGCAGGGATAGTGTCTTCAGAGTGGAGCCTATGGGCTCTCACTTCTGTGCAACCTATGCTTTGTTCTCACGAGGGAAGAGCAGGCAGATCCCCCTAGGGCAAGTGTTGACCAGCTGTAGCCAAAGGGGTAAACCTGGCCTGCTTGGATTTTTCCTTGGCTTGCTAGCAAAGAACTGTTTCTGACAGTTTTTAAGGCTTGATAGAAATCCAGCAAAACAAAAAACAACAACAAAAAACATTTGCTGACATTTGACAATTCTATGAAATTCACATTTCAGTGCCCATACACAGGGCATTAGTAGAGGACAAACCATAACCAGTTCTTTGGCATATTGTTAGTTGCCAGCGACACCCCAACATTGAGCAATCACAACAGAAAATAAAAGACTCAGGAAACTAATTGTTATCAGTGCTTTAAAAAAAAAAAAAGGTGACTGAATTCTAAGTGAGAAAATTGCTTAAGCCCAGATGAAGAAAGAGGTGAAATGAAAGGCAGGTGGGCTACCTTGTGTGGAAGAGACACCACCAAGGACGGCTTGACAGATCTTATGGCCAAAGGAAAAGGGAGAAAACCCCCAGAGTGGATGTGAGGGAAGACCAAGAACATGAGCAGAGATGTCTCTGGAGCCTTTGAACTAGAATAGACCAATGGCATCTTTGATCTCAGTGGAGAACAGTGAGGTTGTGACTGGCAGGAGCACCCAGGCACTTGGGTCAAGCAGGCCCGTGGGTGCTATGGCCTAGCAAAGGGTGTCTCTGCTACTTGAAGCATTCAACTCAAGTTTCACATCTCAGCGATCTGACACCCATGAGTTCTTGAGGGATGTCAAGGAAGTGCCAATTTGTATGCAGCGTAATACTTCGAGAAGGAAGAGGTGCCGGCGCAGCACCTGATTCTGAATTAGGATGCCCAGTGATGTTAAGAGTCTCTTCTAAGGTAGTTGTTAAGATTGTGATTGCCAAAGCTTTGTCTTGGGAGAAATCAGGGCTCCTCAGCTTAGTTAATAGGACCTGTGTTGTCTCATCCTTGTTTTCTTCTCGGCGTTTTCTCAAAAGCAGCAAATGTCCCTTAGTTGGTGAGATTGGCCACTGAAAAGCTGGAAGAGGATCATAATTACTTCTCAAGCTTCCCGGCTACTGGCCCCTGGAGCTGCTTCATGGAGTTCTAGTCTTTTAGTTTGAACAGACATCCCTGTCATTTCATTTAAAGTAAATGCCACAATTTACAAGCCCAGACTCAGCCCTCCTCCTCAGGGAGACTGGCAGTCAGGGGAAAGAGAAGAACTTAGGTCCTTTCCACACAGAGCCTTAAATGCTATGTTTTGAAAGTAGAAAATAAATAAGAAGGAAATGGCACTGGCCAATAAACAGAGGGGTAAGACAGGAGGGTTGGGCGGCTGGCGCTGGGTGCTCAGGCTGTCTGCAGCCTGTTTTCAGAAGGTCGGAGAGGGATGGTTTCAGAGGAGTCCCTGCAAATAGTCAATGGACAATCCACACGAGCCTTTATAGGTTGCATTTATTTTTACTGAAGAAGCAATAAGATGTGGAAGGAAGAAAAGAAAGAGACATTGAAAGGGCAGACTTCCAAAAGTCATTCAAGAAGCCCCAGAGGCTCTCCATATTTGGTCAGATACATAGTTCCCAAATTTGTGACCAAATTATTTTTATTTGGAAATTTAGTGTGTGTGTTTGTGTGTGTTTATTGTTACAGATGTGGATCAAAAGTATAATGTGTTGGTGTTAACTATAAAAGCTAAATTACCTGCCCAACAATGAGTCTTACATTCACTCCTAACAAGTTAAATAGAAGGTCTAAAATCTATAGAACTGCACAGATGAGAATAGACTTTGAATCTAAATCACCAGACTTCATGTACATCTTTGGAATATATTAGCATTATTTGAGGAAGGTACAGTTTACTCCTATGAATAAATCAGAAGGCATATTGTGTGGTTAGAGGAGGTTTATTCCTTAAATGTGATTTTAAAATGGATTTCTTTTCCTATAAACTGCCACCTGCCTATCACCTGCCACCACCCCTTATTATTATGAAGGATTTAACATAAGAAAACCATCGGATGGCTATCACCCCACAGCTTGATGGAACTATAGAATTTTTATTAGGTCAAATCACTTGAACTATAGTAAACTCAGATAAGCATTTCTTATATAATAAAAAGGTGAATTGGGTGCTGGTATGTTTGACTGGCAGAATAGTTGAGAGAATACAAGGAGACACCAGCATCCCTATCGCTAGGGAAATGAGGGCAGTTATCTGTGGACAGTGCTCCGCTGTGACCCTCTTACAGGATGCAGGCCTCCATCCCTGCCTAGGGACCCAGTCTACCAACACTGTGCCTTCCCAATCTGGTGAGCTGTTGAGGATCCGGGAAGTGTATGCGGCAGTTATTCCAACCTGTGTATTTTACCTCTGTGGTCCTGACCTCTGCTCATGTTTCCGAATTGTGACAACTTGATTCTGGGGGCCACATGGGGCTGAGTGACCTGAGCAGGTGTCACATGTCAAACGAGTTTTCTTTTCCATCTATTGCACTGGGCCCTTCTATTTTTCCTCTTTAATTGGTTGGGGAAAGAAAAGGTTTCTTGAGATGTTAATAAGGATAATGAATCTTTACCCAAGGTAAAACCATCCAGGCGACAATGAGATGTGCTGATTAAGTGATTGTCATCAGAAGGAGACAGGGTCACAGTCCATGAGGGAGACAGTCGCAGAACAACAGGGAGCGAGCTTAGAGAAAAGCCACTGATAAAATTAGCCAACGTCACACAGAGGCAGCTGTCTTCACAACTCTTTCTACCTTCCACCCAAGTTAGGGAGATGGATGCAGCTCTTACCACCTCCCTTTTATAATGTCGCTATTACCCTTGGACATTGAGCTTTTATGACTTCAGTAAGTTCAAGCTGAGAGGAATCTAGCCCCTGTGAAGTCATCCTCACCACCATGGCCACGAAAGCAGCTGATAATCTGATTGGTTGATTAATCAAATCCTCCGGGTGCTCTTCTTGAAACTCTTTTCAGGATAGCTGC